CCGGCCCCCCAGAAATAGACTAAAAAAAAAAAAAAAAAAAAAAAAGCAATGGAAAGTACCATGATTCCTCAATTTCCTTTCTTTCCTTTATTCCCGTCCAGAGAGCCATAACTCCTAGTCATGTGTTAATAAGACATTAAGGAATTTATTTCAATACTATGCTTGTTTTTTGTAGATAAATATAGAAAAATTGCTCAGCAATGTGAAGATATGCTTTCCATATGAGATTTTCAAACAGAGAAGAATAATAAGTTGTTACACCTTTAAACTGCATCATTTCATCTGAATTTTCAGATATCTGTATCTTAGCATTTTTTATGACAAAGGAATGGTTGAAATACATTTTCTATAATTATTTTTCCATTAAAGCAAGCGCTAACCATAGTTAACATTTTTAATTATTCATATCTATACAGTTACAATCTAGTTTTCATGGAATCTATTTTCCCTTCAATAAAAAGTAATGTCAAAAGCTTCTTTTCCAGTATTTAAAGATCAGAATCCATTTTCTCTTGTGTTTCTGTCCTTACTAGGTATTCAGATATCTAGATGTACTGTACATATTAGTCTGGGTACCTTTACTAATATTCACAGTATTTAAGATTATAAATGCAATTTGTTGTTAAGTATGTTATTTTATTCTTGTGTAAATTGTTTTGTACAATCTTTAAAAATCTACAGTTTTGCATTTGTAGATATTAAAGGTAAGCAATTTATTTTGTTTTGTCCTGCATGTATATTTTTGCTGTAGATAAGTGTTGCTTAGTTTACTATTTCAGTACATTTCTGTTTAAATGAATAAGCTTACAAACTTTAATACAGTATATATTTTCAGAATATAAACTTTTATATTTCTGTGGTAGGTTAGGGTATGCGTTTTAGGCAATCTTTTTCACTACTATTAACTGTTCTTTTAATCTATAATATCCTGGTTTTGTGCCAATAGTTTTTCATTAGAATAAAATGCTCTTTTAATGTTAGGGATAAACAGACAATTTTGGTTGGGGTTTGTTTTATTTTGGTTTTTTTATTATTATTATTTTGCCAGCCTTTACAGTTTTAAATGTAATTTATAAATGTATTGCATTTGTGAATAAGCCTTACCATTAGGTACAAGAAATCTTTAAAGCTACATGATTACTTATGTAGTACTAAGGACTTCCCCAAATAATTGCTGTAAGAAAGTTAGCAAATCGGACTACAGGGCCTTAAGTTTTTCTCGTGAAAAGGATAATACGGGTTGTTTCTTTTGAACAACATAGGTAGACTTGTCAGCATGGGCTTTGTTATATATAAACTGTGCATTTGTGCTCCCAACCACAGTAGTTCAATCTCAGGCTTTATGTGGCTGGGTCTATAAAAGTCAAATCTGGCTAAAGCCAGCGCTCTTTAGGAGACACTAAAGAAGTTTACATAAGAGACTTACAGACAATCTTAATCATAGTACATTTGGGTACTCGGTATCCTAGATGTGTTATCTGTGTCTGCCCAATTAACCGTATGTTTTAAGCCATATTAAATCTCTTTACTGCTACTTTAAATACTACACTGAAAGTCATTCACTAGCTTGCTTACTCACAGACAGGATTTCAATTTTTAATGAATAAAAATATTATGCCTTCCATAAAAACAAAGGACCAAAGAATTGCATTGTTCTAACAAAGCATTAGTTCCTTCGCCAGTGAACTAGTTTGACATTTGTACTGAAGATCAAATAGTCTCCTTCTGCTACAAACACTGCATTCTCATCCACGTCAAGTGTAAGGGGAAAAGATGTATCCACTGACCTATTGGGAAAGGAGTGACGTTCAGCTAGGATGGCATGTCTATTGGTAAGGCTTATTACCAAACCTCTGAGATGAAGCAAAGAACCAAAAATTCACAAATTATGTCAATGTAAATTTATTTTCAGAACTTGCACAAATAATTAATTGTAGAACTTTTCAAATTAGGCCCTTAAGTTATTTTGTCAGGACACCATGAAACAGACTAAAACAGTTTCTAATATTTGTAATGATGAGTACATATTATAATATTATAAGGGTACAGGCACCCCTATATCACAGTGTTGTAAATATTTTCTGAAACTGGTACAGTACTGAGGGACTTGTATCTTCTGATATATCAAATATTGACTGTCTAGATCAAATTGTACACAATTTATTTGTTGATGGTCCTGTAACTAGTGTATGGACACATTTCTGGGTGCCTTAGAAGTTGTATTTTTCATGTGTGTTAATATGCAGTATTTATACATTGTGAGAAGCTGCTTTGAATAAAAACATTGAAACTTCACTTCAATGCAGTGATTTTCAGTTTTACATAATCAGAATGAATGTGATAAGTAGTAGCCACAGACCCTTGTATTATATATGATAAAGCTATTCACAGACTCCTGCCTTTTAAAAGAAAGCAAGCATACAGCAAGATTTTTGAAAGAGAAATTAAACTTAAAACTTTTTTTTCCAAATGGCAAAAACCAGGGCACTAACAGACACTGCAATAAGAACTCTCTGAAATCATTCATCATGATCCATCTCATTTATCATTTCATGATCAAATCCAAGAAAACCGCCGAGAACTGTCTTACAAATACACTTCTAGGACACCTTCTCCACCATTATCACTTCCACTATTTGGTATGTGCACGTCACCTAAAGCATATCTGCCCAGAACTGACTGCTGCATACAGTATTTCAGCTCCACATGAGGGAATCTGATTTTGAAGTGGTGTTTGCCAGGGAGGCCAAGACTCAGCTGGATCACCCTGTGGTCCTCCTACATGGTTACAGCCTGCAATCCTTCCATGGGGTCTCTTGTATACAAGGTGATCGTTTGGCTGTAGCATCCACGAATGCTGTTTCAAATCATGTATCTCCCACGATTAGAAGAGTAACTGTAAATTACTTCTGCCTGGGGCAGAAAAGGAAGGATATTTTTACAGGGAGCCAGTGTTACCCAAACAACCTATACAACAAGGTCTGAAAAAAATGACCTACACTTGATTCAAAGGACAACAATTATGTTCTAGCAATTATATTGGTTAGCTTTAAACTGACAGATACTGTTAGTCAAAACTGTGGTCAGCTATTTAGAGCAGAGGATTGAGCAATTTAGTCTTGCTTCACAGTCAACAAATCCAATTATTTATTACGGTGACTCTTACCAGGAATTATCGTAGCTTGCACTGGACTAAGCAACGTGCACATAATGAACAGAGTATGACACCTTTCTTGTCTAACAGTTTTATTTATGTTTTAGTCTTAACGTAGATTGCCAACATTTGAATTTTATTTTAAATAACTCATTTTTAAAGGAAAGCAAAAATTATTTAAAATGAAAAAATCCATCCAAATATTGTAAGTCAAGGTTTTGTAAACCAAGATAAATGGTAGTCCTTGTTGCTGTAAATTAATATGCCAAAAAACTATATGGAAGAGGAACCCACTAAGTATATATAAAGAAGGTCTACAAATTTAAGCAGACAAAAGACTAGTCTATGAATTGCAAGCAGAAAAGAACAGGCAGGTATTAATCCCACTTAAGATATAAAAAGTACTCAAACAGGTCAAAGCTCTGCATAAACTAAGACATGCCATTTCTCATTTTGAGTTTTGAATAACAGACAGAAACAATATTGCATATGGCAAGAACAAGGAGAGGTTTTGAAACAAGTGAAAGCAAATGAAAGCACGTGAGAAAAACAGAAGGACATCATTTTAAAGATTGGGGAGTTCAAAGCAAATCAAGTCTCAGAAGTCAGACTGGGGGGCAGTTTGGTTGAGAAGGAAAAAGTCAGAGGGTGAAATTCTGGGCCTATTAACTTCAGATACTCACCTCTCCCTGGTGCCTTATTTTTCATGAAACCCCCTCAGAAGATTATAAAATTTAATAAAACGTAACGCATCTGTTTGTGACTCTGATGTCTGACTTATCCTCAAAACCAATCTACAGGCATAGCATGGAGAGAGTTTCAAATTACTACAAAAGCCAGAGTAACAACCCGCTCTAGAATTCAAGCCATTAGAATTGTTCTAGCGCCACTTTGCTTTAATTTATACGCTTTCCTTGATTTTACAAAATTTGCTCATTACAGACGTATAATAAAAATAGAACCGTTTAGAACTTTGTTGATTTCCAATTATTAAGTCCACCTGCCTTGACACAATAATTTTCACCTGGAACTGCTAAAAGTACTACAGGAGAAAGAAGAGAATTTTCATTTCCAGAATAGGAAACAGTTTATCATTTAGTAGGGAATAAATTAATTTACACAGAGGATGAAGCAAAGACCAGAAATGCACAAGAAACAATGAAGAGTTTTATACAAAGTCTACTAGTGTAAGAACCAAGTTTCCACTACAAACTGGTTACAAAGGAATACCTAAATGCATATATAATCTCCAGCTATATGTTATTAGAAAGCAGCCCTAATTCTTGGGGGGTGGGTGGGGGGTGGTAGATTTTAATTACCTTAAGCACTACAACAGTTTTTATCATGACATAATTTACAGAATGTCATCCTTATCAAATTCTTGTCACAAAAATTGTAATGCTACTTCATGAGTCAAGAACAATCCTAGCAATTTCAATTTCACCTGTCCT